TTTTTATTATTGTGTCAATTGTATTCGATTCGTTTCTTTTTTCATTAATGAGTTTGTTTAAAATTGGCAACAAATATGCATTTAATTCCGATTCGCATTCTGTTCTCATTTCTGGTATAAGATAATATAATTCTTTATATTGAAGGTCATTTAATAAATTATAACACCACGGATTTGTTGTAAATTGAAACAAATTTTTTTTATCTATATTAAATGCAACAAAACTTGTAACTGTATGATAAATTACAGTATTATACCCTCGATCAAGATAATTATATTGGCCCCATTGTTCGTTATCGAAGGCTAGAAATAAAAGCCCTTCGGGCATAGGTTCTTGTTCAATTGCAAGGGACTCTAACCAGTTAATAAATTTTACATAACTTCCAGAACTAATAACGTGATTGTCAATATCGACAATCATTCTGGACCGTGCCAATGAGTACTTAATTGCTGATAGGGTTAGATTTATTTCAGAGACATAGTTTTTATGGCTTGATCCATAAATTGCATCAACCGCGACTACTTTTTTGAAGAGCTTTTCTTTTAAAGTAGAATCGTTATTACTACTTTCATTATTACGGGTAAGAACTTCAATAAAGTTAACGATAACTGGGTTACGATTAGCTAACCAATTATTTGGCGTAAAATTTAACAAATTATTAAGAGAAAATCGATCCTTATTTAAAATTAATGAATCAATATCATTATAAACATTTTGACGTTCTTTATTTGCAATTTGAACAATAGAATCAATCCTTTTTTCTTGATTACTAAATCAATTTTCCCACTTAAATAATAAATCATTATTTTGTTTAATCAACTCCTGACTTAATTTATTTATTTTTTGATCGCATTCCCAACTTTCAACTACATAATCATATGCACAATCTAAATGTTTTCAAAGATCTTCTATTTCACTTATTTTTTTATTTAATTGCTCTTGAAGTAAAATTACATAATTTTCAAAGTCTTGAATTATAGATTCAGACGTTTGTACACCAACCTCACATGATTGTTTTCCAACCTGTACACCAATTTCACATGTTTGTTTTTCGATAAATTCGGTTTCAGAATCATGACTTTCAACTTGCCATTTTGGATTATGCCGCTGACTATTTAAATTTAAAAGATGACAATGAAAATAATTAGAAGCTATGAGTTGATTATAGTGCCGATCGCACATAGAATAGTCTTCCAAATGCATTTGAATTTCAACTAACTCAGGAAAAAAAGAATTATATAAAGGAAGCCGATTTTTGGATGTTCGAGAATCGGCATGTCGTGTGGGTACCTTGGTTCCATATTTTTTTAATCCAACACTATTGTATATGCCGACCAATCTGGCAAAAACACAAGATAGATTTGCTGCTAGTTCTCACTCTGCTGGTTCTTGTAGTGCTGGTTCTTGTACTGCCGGTTCTTGTACTACCGGTTCTTGTACTGCTGGTTCTCGCTGATAAGATTTCACTAAAAAGTTTATAATGAATAAAAAAAATACTTTAGTCTTATTCACCATTACAATAAGAGATATTAAACAATTTGAATCTAAATTAACTAGAAACTTATACAAAGATTATGTCACCGCAAATACAGTATAATATTTGTCCAGAGAAAGTGAAATGAATAAAACTCACTTGGTGCAAAAAAGGTATACTTACTTTTATATATATGTTATATATATATATATTTTTTATTTTATTTTTTTTTTATTTTTTTTTTTAAGCCAAATATTGTAAAAGGCTTTATATATTCACTCTGGGATGAACGACAATCGTGAAAATGCTTTCGCTTATATAGATTGACTTTTTTGTAAAAAAAAAAAACCTCTGCACTCACAGAGAATTTGAGCTACACTTAAAGAAATGTACACTTAGACACTACTTAAAAGTGTTGAAGGTGCGTTGATTTTGATTGATTTTTGGTTGATTATAAAACTACACACATAAAACTATGTAATCTTCTAATCGCTCATTATACCACAAATTAAGTTTGTGCGATATTTGACAAATAAAAATGTAAAAAATCAATAAAATTAATATAAAAATTTGATAATCGATGATCTTAAAATAATTCTAGAATAAGAATCATTACACAAATTAATTCGTCATATATATTACCAAATATGGAAATTTCCCGGACTGTAGTTAGATAATTTATATTAAGAATGAAATATTATACCTAGTCCTTTTTACAAAATATATAAGCTATTTTGCTTAACAAATAGTAATTCATTAACTATCTTAAGAGATAAACAGGTTTTTTTAGAAATTATTTGACTTCTAGCATTAGAAAACAAATGTTTACTTGGAACAGAAGTGGCAAAAATTGATAAGTACTTATATGCTATCTTGCTTAATATTAAGAAGATATACCAGTTAGTATGCTATTACTAATATATATCTGTAGCCTCAGATTGAGTTTGTGTAACTGATTTATTTAAATAATTATTGATCTTAATTTCATGATTTGCCCAAGTTTGATTATGACTAAATATTTTTTTTATAAATATAGGCATAGATGAGGAAGATGTTTCTGCTCCAGTATTTTCACTAAGCTTATTTGTTATAACTATATTCTACCAAGTCTTAAACTTATCACATAGCCTTTTAATTGTTCTATTTCATATTTTTTTTGACTATAGCTCTATCAATTTCAATCTTGGGTCTAATAAGATAACAATTAATTTAATATATTCTGGATTTTGCTAATAATATTTAAAAAAATTGTAAATAACTCTTTAAACTTTTAAAATTATATTTTTATTTGAAGGTAGCCTTTTGTAGTTAGCCATATTCTAGATATTCATATTATTTAAACTTTTATTAGTAGAACTTTCATCTTTAGTTAAAATATTATCTTAAGTATTTAATATTTAATATTAATTTAATATTGCAAATAATAATTATTTAAACCATATAGACTTAATAAATTGGTTCTTATAACCCAGCTTAAATTTTACAAAATTTTGTAAAAAATGTTCTACTTAAATAAATATTCTAGATGTTTATAAAAAGAACTAAAAAACTAACTCTGTATAGCCTTATATTAAATTAAAAATTTTTATTCTTATCTTCAAATATATATGCTCTTATTAATATTTTCAAGTTTATTTGATATATTATAATTAAAAAATTCAGCTTTTAATACTTTAATAGTTGGGTTGATGATTGATAGAATAGTATAACAGATTCTACTAAGATAAGTTATTAACTTATTAAATAGTTTAAATGCATTTACTAATTCTTGTAATAATATCTATTTATTATCTTTAAGCATAAAATAGTTTAGTTTATTAGCATTCTCTTTAATACTATTATCTTTAGTACTTTCTTTATTTTCTAAATTTAAAGTAGCTAAAAGCTATTTAATTGCTAGATGCAATATTAAAAGCTATTGCCAGGATTTATGAGTTCTAGCAAGTCTTTATATTACTAATAATATATAAAATTTTGAACTTTTTTCAAATATTTCTGGCTTATTATTATCATCAATTTCTACTACAAATGATAAGTTCTTGTTATTAGAACTATATAATTGGATAAAAGTTGAGGTATTTTTATTATATTGAGCTAATTCTATTTGTGCCTGGTCAAGGTGTTAACTCTGCTTTGATAATTTAAAAAATTTAATAAGATTATCAATTCTTTGAATATATAGCTTTATAATTTTTAAAGCTTAGATAACTGCAAGTTAGAGAGTATAAACTAAGCAGGCAATACATTCTACACTATTCTATATTCTAATGGCTTTTTTTATATTTGCTCTGTTATCTGTAATTGCACAAATTACTTTTTAAATTCATTAATTTTTTGGTCTAAATATTTTTTAATTCTTTTGCTAGTATGTAGATAATATATTTTTTCAATGGCTAATATAACATCATGAACTTCGAAGTCTTTTGTCAACTAATAAACAGTCACACCAATATATCCTTTATTGTTTTGAAATATCCATAGGTCTATAGTTATTGAGGCAGTTTTGCAAGTGGTGTTAATTAATTTTTTTAATTCTATTATGCTTTTTTGATAGGCAATAGTAATGTTTTTTCTAATATTTTTACTATTTTGTAGTATAAAAGCTAAGTTAATTCTATTAATTATTTTTTTATAATCTACTCCATAAATAGTATTAAAAAGCAAAAAGTTAGTGACTAACCATTTTGTAGTAACTTTCTTAATTCTACTTGTACAGTTTTCTTATAGAGTATCACTTTTCTAATTATTTTATCAATATTTAATTAATACTTTGTATTTGAACTTGATTTGAGTTTATTAGCCCTAAGATTATATGTTTTGTTTAAAGGTAAAGCTTCATATTCCCAGTTCTACTATCATACTTGTAGTCTGTATTACAATCAACCTCTACACTATTTCGAAGCATAATAATCTTATATATACTGTAGTATGCTTCTTTTCTAACTAAAAATATTTTTGCACATAACTTGGTTTATTTGTTAAATTAATAATATTTACTCAGATTCTTTTTATATCTTTTTCTTCTATATGCTTATCTATAGCTTTTCTCCTAATTGTGATACTAGGAATATTATTTTAGGTTTAGCATCAGAATTAATATAAGAGTCAATATAAAAGTTAGCATAAGGGCTAGTATAAAGGTCAGTGTAGAAGCTAGCATAAGAATTGTTATCAGAACTATATTTATTATAACTATCTATAATTGTTAAAAAAAATAAATGAATAAAAAATAGTTTATGTGTAAAGAATTTATTTTAAATGAAGTTTTAATATTAAAAATATTCAATAGTATATATGTAGTTATTTTTAAAACTTTCTTTAAATAACAAAAAATAACCTTATAGCTTTTTATATAGAATTTAAAACTTTATCAAAGCAATTATATGATAATTATAATAAAAAAATATTTATATAAGTATCGTTTTATCTTTTATTGTATATTTTTGATAAACTTCTTTAGCAGTCTTTCTTTATATATATTTTATAAACTTTAGTAATATTTTACTAGATGCACTTTATTGCATCTAATAGGCTTTAGTAAAATCCTTTATATAAATTTTATAAGCTTTAGCAATCTTGTATTCATGACTTTAGTGAATATATTTGATGAGTTTTGAACAGTATAACTTGTTTTATAATTTTTTTTTACTTAATTTAGTACTTTTTAGTGATTTCTTACTATTTTGGTAATATGCTAATCAAAGGTTATTTTTTATAAAAAGATAAGTACATATGCATATTTTTTTGTTTGTTTGTTTTAGTGTTTGAGTTTCTGTAATTTGCTTTAGTATTTTAATATTACAATAATTATTTAGTACTTGATTTTATTTTTAGTATTTTAGCAATTTTGTAAATTTGTATTTTATCATTTTTGATATTATGCTAATCAAAGGTTATTTTCTATAAAAGGATAAGTATATATGTATATCTTTTGTTTGTTTATTTTAGTATAAGTTTATGTATAGTAATTTGCTTTAGCATTTTAATATTATAATGATTTAGTATAATATTTATATGCTGACTGCTAAAATACAAACAAAAAATTTTATTAGATAAATAAATAATATTAAGTATATCTAAATACTCAACATTAATACTGCTTAGTATATTTAGTATCATTATTGCATAGTATTTTATAAAAAAATAATAAATATAGTTAAACTTCTCTAAGTATACTCTCTATATATAAGTGCATACTCTTGCTAAATACAGGTGACCCTCATTAATATCAACCCATTTGAACCTGTTCAAAATTATGTTGATAGTGATATTAACGAAAA